TTAACTGTGCGTTCGTTTTCCCGGTCAAATGTATGCGTTTTTAAAAACAATTATTTTTTGTATATTTTTTTGCTAGTGGAAAGTACTTATCTTCAAAATTTAAATTCATAAAAACATAATAACTAGGGAACGGATTTACATGTAAATGCATATTTTTATTAAAACGAGATATTAAAGATTCGATAAGAAATGTTCATCATTTAAATCATTCCAATTAATATGATACTACTTTTATTTTACATATTTTTACATATTTCACTAATTTGTAAATATTTTTAAACATATTTTATCATTTCACGTCTTCTTCGTATGAAAATACAAGAAATTATTTCTAATTTAGATCTAGTAACTTCTATCGCCATAAGAAAAGCTCAAAATATTATGCAAAATGAAACATTGAAAACTAATTTAATTTTCATCTCAGTGAATTTTAGTTTTATTGCACATACATTTACAAAATAAGAAACAAAAATATGTCCTTGAATGAAAGTATGCAAATTGTCGAATCAACGATTGCAAAATGAAAACTCGTAAACGGACCAATAGGCGAAGTTGTAAAAAAAAAAAATTCATGTTGTTACAGAAAAAAATTTCAGGCGATATTGATTTTAAATTAATCAGTGACATAATCAGTGGTAGACACCATTCTAAAAATTTAGAATTATCGCCTTCTGATATTATGCACTTCAAATATGCTTCAATCAACCAATGTAGGTTGATGTGGAATGATCATTTAGCCGTTTTAAAAATATATTCAGATCTAATAGGCGACATATAATAATTAATAATTTAAAAGGTATTGTAATAATTCAATGCAACATATCATTTTGATAATTTAATAATTATAATTTTTTTTTTTCTTACATATTTGGATGTTTTTTGCACATATTTTATAAATTATCCTTACACACATATGTACATATTTCTGTATTTTTATTACATATAAATCCGTTCCCTACTAATAACGAACTATTATAGTTGACACTACATTAAGTGTAACAAATTTTGCTAATCACTTATAGCTAGGCTGCAAAGGGATTTACCACAAAATGTTAATGAACTATGCCACTTATTTCAAAAAAAATTGTTAATTTAGCTGCTCAGTTATTTAATACTCAATGAGTATTTGATAGCACTCAGCTTTGATATCCTTTTCATAGGCGTACCCACGGGGTGTGCCTATTTTAAATTGTTGATCAAACATCGTTTAATTATTTAAAACTGATTATTGAGAGTTGGTATAATTTATTCTGTATCATATTATATATAATATGTTCATCGAGATAACGCAATATCTAATAATAATAAATCTAATATCGATTGTAGTATTATTTGGTATTATGTTTATGACCGTGGTCAAAGATTTAATTACGAATTTAGGTACAAGAATTTTTGATTGATAGTGTTTCCCTTCAATTTTTTGTGTTTATTACATCAGTTATTTAGTATTCTGGTTTTCAATTTATAAAATAATAACGATTAATATCTAAGACATGTAAATTTTATTCTGTACTATCATTAATGTACTGAATCTTAATTTTAAATCGTAATGTTTGAAATTATATTATAATTGGTATGGCTTCAAAAAAACCAAAATAGATTGTTGAATTTTTTCAAACCCAAAGAAAAACAAGGTAAGAAAAATTTTGTGAAAATACTAAATGCATTTAATTACAAATTTTATTTTAGATAACACATTTTCTGATATTAATGTTCCTACAAATGATCCAGATAATCCAATGTCTATTGTTAAAAACACAGACTACCCGGATGACTCGTTGTTGATGTGTGATCAATAGGGAATGGATTTAAATGCTCTAAAAAACAAGAAAAATGCCTTAAAAAAATGCTTTAACATCAAAAATGCACGAAAAAAATGCCCTAAAAAACTTTAAAAATGGGTTTATATTCAATAAAAACAAAATTTTGAATTTAAAACTTATAAAAAAACACATAATTATGAAAAATCTAATAAAAAATAAAAAATATTTAAATACAATACAACCTTAATTAATTAACTTTCAATTATCTTGATATATATCATACTATCTTCTTTTTACCCTAAAAAATAAAAAAATTAATAGGTATACCATTTAGATAGGTATATTCGTTATACTTTTACCTTTTGTTTCATAGCATTGTACTCGTATAATCAGGTGCTGTTTAATATTGTCAAACAGAAATCTTCGACGGTTATCGGCCAGTATTGTTTTGTATCTCAAGAAAATTCGTTCCACGTCAACTGACGTCATAGGTGCAAACTTCATATGAGCCATATCATCAGCAGTTAGTTCTTCAGATATTGTACTATTTCGAGATGTTGCTTTTCCTTCCAAAATATTTGAAATTTGTGTCTACACATGTCAACAATAATTTCGTAATTTCGTAACATAATACATATTTAGGTATTTTAATTTTTAGAAAGAATGTGGAAAAAATGTTGAAAAAATGACTTAAAAACCACAAAATGCACTTAAAATTTCAAAAAATGCTCTAAAAATACATTAAAGTCTTAAAAATGCAAAAAAATGCAAAATAAAAGTTACATTTTTTAATTCTTTGATGTATGAAATGAACTGTTTGCTTGGAAACCAATGTTTTCGGACATTCAGAAAAAATGCAATTTGCATTCAAATCTGTTCCCTAGTGATCAATCACCAAAAGTCAATGATTTAAGTAAGATATTAAAGAAAACAGTTTTACTGATTCAGTCAATAAAATACAATTTTTCTTTTATATAATACATTAGATAATACTATAGAGAAAGAATCAGACTTAAACAATTCAAAGATAGGTATGTACTTTCAATCTAATAAATTCTATGAAGTAAATGTTAAATGTAATTATATTATTTTGATGTTGTTTAACAGGGACCTGATTCATGTTCTAATGTGTCTAACTAATTAGTAATCACTAATCACTATCGCTGTATATCCTAAATATTGTGTAATGTAGCCAGTCATTGTTTTCTGTTGTACCAAATTCAATGTTTCAATTACATTATAATTTAAAACTAAGTATTTATTTTTATTTTATATTCATAAAAATACAGTAACAATAAATTATAGGTATTATAGCATTTGATTATTTATTTGATTGTTTTGGTAGCTCTTATCAATAACAAGCAAATTTATAATTATAAATTCTGTAAAATTTATGTTATAATGTATGTTGCTATAACTACTGCTGTATAACTAACATTGTACCATTTAGATTTAGTTATAGTTTTAGCTTGTTTTAATTGTATTATAATTTACAAATATATACCAGGTATATTATACCTATACTATTACTTTCAGATTGTACTATGCTCTTACCATCTAATCAGCCCAATTGTACTCTCCTGAACCCTCTAGATCCAGCAACTCCTTTGCCTTCTAATAAAATTTAATAATCTGATCGTATAAAAAGAGATCCTTATCAACCAATTCTTGAAATTTATCCAAGAACCAAAATTTCAAACATTCTAAGGCAATTTCATAAAGAATGATTTAAGTGTTTCAGCTGGCTGGAATACAAAGTTAAACTAGATCGTGCTTATTGTTTCAGCTGTAGAGTTTTTTTTACACTCTAATGGAAAAAATAATGGACAATTAAATAAGACCTTCTCACATTTGGGTTTTAGTAATTTGCGTTTAGGAACTAATAAGTTTAAAACACATAAGCTTTCCAAGTCCTATATAAATAGTACTACTTCAATGAGTATTTTTTTAAACTGTAAAACTATAGATGTTCTGATAGACAAAGGTAATGAAATTCAATTTGCTCAAAAAGAGAAATAAAAATTTTATAATAGACAAATAATGTATCATCTTATTGATGTTACTTTATGCTTAGGACTAGATGGCCGTGAATTTCGTGAATATATTGAAAAAATTTCAGAATTACATCAAGGGTTGTTTTAAGAATTAGTCAATTTGCTTAAAAAGTATGATCCAGTATTAAAAGATCATTTAGATATGGACCTTGGAATGCGTTATATACGAGTGACCATATCTAAAATGACCTAATTTTATCGATTTGTAATATTATTTGAAGAAAAATTTCTACTGAAATTTGTGGAAAAAAAGTTTCAATCATTGCGGATAAAACTAGTGACGTTGGTCACAATGAGCAAATGTCTTTTGTTATCCGATATTATTCATCCGAACAAAAAAGACCAGTTGAAAGATTTTTTTGTTTAAGAAGATTATTACATGGAGATGCTCAAACTATTTTTTTGAAATTATGTGATGTATTGAACAATATATATATATATTGAGTGGCATAATGTGTTATCGGTTTGCTTCTACAATGCCTGGTAATGTAGCAAGCGTTCAAGCTAAATGTAAAGAGATAAATTCAAAGCTTTTCTATGTTCATTATTATGGGCATTGCTTAAACCTTGTGTTAGTAGATTAAATTGGAAAAGAAAACCGTGTGACATTTGATTTTTTTGGTACCGTTTAATTAGTTAACAATTTAATTGAAGGTAGTTGTGTACATCATGCTATATTAGAGAAAATTTCAACTTCAATGAATATAAAGTTAAAAACATTGAAGACACTGTCAACTACAAGGTAGGCATGCCATTCTGAAGCAATTGAGGCAATTAAACATAATTATATAGCCATATTAAAAACATTAGAGGAAATATCAGACTAAACAAATCTTCCAGATGTAAGAGCCAAAACAAAAGGTCTCATTTATTCTTTGAAAACTTTTAAATTTGTTTTTGCTATGTGTATGTTAAGCCCTATTCTAAATTTAGTAAACAAAATTAGTGCTATATTACAATCACCTAACTTGGATTTACATACAGCAGTTACACTAATAACTGCTTTGCAAAACTCTCTTAAAACAATGATATCAGACGAAACATTTAATATCATTTTTGATAAAACTAAAGTGGCTTGTACTAAAATTGATGTATCCATACCTGAAGTAAAAAGGTGTAAAGTATCAACTACAACAGATTATGAACATCATTCGCAAAAATTTTTTGAAAATACAAAGATGAAATGAAGATAACTGTATATAACAGTGTTATTGATAAAATGTTAAATGGCATCAAAGTTCGTTTCAATCAAGATACATTCAATTTAATAGATAGTTTTAGTAACTTATTAAAACTAGAAATAGAAAAAAAGCATACACAAACTATTTCTGAAAAATTTAGTTTATCTTTTGATCAACTCGACAATGAAGTGAGATTGTTTACACAAATAGATGACATACCAAGAGGAAGTAATAATAGTACAATAACTCAGTGGTTGAGTTATATAACTAAGGATGGAACAGACTTTTGATAATATATTTAAAGTTCTACAAGAATTTACTACCATAACAGTCATTAGTTGCTCTTGTGAAAGAGCTTTTTCAAAAATGCAATAGTTAAAAATAAATTAAAAAGTACAGTGGCTCAAGATAGATTAGATGACTGACTTACAATTTTTATTGAACAGGAAATTACAAAATCTTTAGATATGGAGGAAATTATTGATGAGTTTAAAACACTAACACCAATACAAAGAAGATTACCATTATAAAAGATAAATGTAAATGCTATTGACTATTGTATATTCAGTAAATTTAGTTGTATAATATGTAATATGACTAATATGTAAACTAATAATTATTTTATTTTAAAATTAAAATTTATTATTAACTAATTATTATAATATTAAGATAATATTGATCTTACTGAATTACAGTAGGTCAATTACCCCTACTAAAATAATTCCGCACACCATGTGAAAAATTCCTGTGCACGCCTATGTTCGTGATTTATGATTTTGTTGGTTCCGTGGGTATCCCGATATGTAAGCCCGGATAAAGGGGGGCAAAGGGGGTCATGGGCCCGGGCCCACAATGGATATCAAATAATAGTAGGCCCCTGGTGGATAGTAGGTTTTTTTCGTTTTTAACTCTTTTTAGCTCGTATAAGAAATAAGTACAAAATAGTATATAGCTTTATGAATTTGTGTTCAGAGAGTTATGTTTTAAATGTAATTAATATCGATGATAAAATTAAAGAGTTTGCTTCACAAAAAGAAAGAAAAAATTATTTATATAAATAACATTTTAATTTTTTGTATTAAAAAAAGCAAGAAATAAATTTATAAATTAGAACATATTTTTTTTTTTTACCTCTGAAATATATTTATGTGTGGATCATCAATATTTTGATTATGGTTTTGGGCCCCTAAAATTGTTTGGCCCCGGGCCCCAAATTATCATAATCCGGGCTTGGTTATATATGTTGACTATATTATGTTTGGTATACGTTATTATGCCTTATATTCTGATAAACTGAAATCGATTAAGTTTTAAAAATGGTTTTATAATATATAATATATATATTTATAATATATAATAATAATAAAAAAAAAAATGTTCGTTAAATTTTTATGTGCGTCCCACGTAATATGTAAACTATTCATTATATTTGGGCCACTTGATACTTCGAGTTTAACATGCCTGTCCTATTGTATACTGATCCACTGTATTGTCTCTCTGGCAATAACGGGATTACAGAATACAGATAAACAATATTATTTTAAAATTATTTTATTTATAAATAACGAAAAGACCCAGCCATAATAGAGAGTAAGGTACATGTGATGAGGTGCAAGCGAAAGCAACTCTCGTATACGCACGCACATATCAATAAATGGCAAACAATTAAATATATTCATGTACTCATAACCTATAAAAACTACTTCCAAAAACGGTTATAAATTAAACGTACTTCCTGAACTTCGATTGTAATTTGGAAAAAAGGGTTGAATTTGTAAGCTTCTTAACTATGCTTTTTTTGTGGGAACCACTTTTTTGATTTAAAGCCAGATTTGCTCAAAATAAATACAAATGTAATGCAATAATTTCATGATTATTATATAAATACATCTTAATTTTATAGTCCTTTAAAATTGAAAGTTGAAAATCGGATTCTTAGAAAACCTAGATATTTTGTTAAAGAATTCATGCATATGTTAAAAATTGAAATCGGAAATTTGGAAGTATGTGTAATTTATTACTGTTTATTGGTCTATAACGTACGAGAAATACATGTTATGCGATCCCCTTAACACTAATGATTTCTTACTACTCACAAACATGTAAGGCTCTAAAATTTTTGCTTATACTGAACCCCTTAAAAACTGACTATTTGCAATCCCCGTAAATATTATACAAGTTTTTGTGTTCAATTTGTATGAATAACTTAAATCGAATTTCCGATCAAATGACGCTGGTGGAAGCGGTGGTGATCCTATGCGCAGGGGCAGATCCATAGCAAGGCGTTATAATGGATTTACTCCCTATTCGAAAGTAAAAAAACATGTCAATGAACTGACGACCATTTTGTGGAATTCCTGTAATTTAAATTTGGCTTTGTCGAATTTGGTTCTTCAGTATTACGGATTATCAGTTATAAGTTGTATAACTTTATTTTTATTGCAGTGACTAGTATTTGAACACCATCCTTAATAATTACTTGTTTGCTATTTGAATCTTTAGCAAAATTCGTGCCAATTTTGATCAGGCCCTCCTAATATAGATTTTATATTTTTAGATTAATACTTTTTTATAAATTATATAATCATGACCCTTGAAAGACATTTATCATATTAAGGTATGGTTTACAACCTGTGGCAGGTTGCAACAACTGGCCACTACATATTGTCTGGTTTTCAACGAGTTATGCAAAACACAGCATTGCAGTGGAAAGTTCAGTGGGTTCCCAATAGTGCAATGCTCAGGCTAATTTATAATTTATTTAACTATATTTGTATAAACATAAATAATTAAAATTAATAACTACATACTTAATACTACTAATACTAAATTAAGACTACTAAGATGGAACAAATTATCATCAACAATAACAATATAATTCAACTGTTATTGGAAAAATAGCAAGAAGATGAATTACAAAATAATCTTTAAATAGAAATTCAGTTAATAAAATTATTTTTATTATTATTACTATTAGTTAATAAAAATATGAAAAGAAGTTTTTTTGAAGTGTTAATTTATGGATATTTAAATCACAATAAACAAAAAATGTAGTTTTAGCTTAGCTAGTTTTTCCATTTAAATGATGACCAATTTTTATGTATTTACATTGAAATTGTAAAACTAAAAAAAATTTTTAAATTTGAACACAGTGCAACTAGTTCTAGACCAGTGTAATTGACAGTCATGATAACCCACACCCACACGTCAATTACATTGGAAATTATGCTAAGGTACTTATTTAAGTAACAGTCTATAGTACGATTGTTGCAGTCGGTCGTAGCTCGAAAACCTTAAATTTACACAATCCCCATGTAACTATACAAATTATTATTCATTATTATATTTATAGAAGATTTATACTTTTATATGTATATTGATGCAATATATATATATATTAATTACAAATGATTTTTTAAAATTGATAATTATCATTTTATCAAAGTTTATAACAATGTCGGTGAAATTTCAAAATAATATTGGATTTTTGGAGGAATTTTTATAAGAAATAGGTTCCACATTTATAACTCATTAAGTAATTAAAAATATTACTGATAGTCATGAATGTCTATTCTGTTAGGTTGATTACTATTATATATTACCACCCTTGTAATTAGTTGTTTACCTGTGTATATATTTTTTTAATATATTGTTATTTATTTAGTATTGAACCATAATAAAATTGGGTAACTAATTTATAAGTTGACCAACAATAAAATATATCTTAAATATGTTCATCAATGTAAACACATGTGTTGTATATAATTTTTTGTTATATTACCATTTAAACGTTGTTATTAATACATTATATTAATTTAAATGAATGAATAGGTTCAGTAGTACTTCATTTTATATAGGTACCATAAATATGAATTTTATTTAGTAAAAAAAATATATAATGGTTAATTTTTATTTTATTTAGGCCGATGTAAATTCATCATGGACCCATGATATGTATGAAGGACCTAAAAGACAGCAAATTAGAGGTGGTCTTTCAACTACTAATATTCATAAAATTATTATATCAAACTTGGACTTTGGAGTTACATCTACAGATATACAGGTTTGAATAAAAATTGTAGGAATTTTTAAATTTATGTCTTTTTATACTATAAAAACTTATTAATGTCAGTTTTACTTAAGTGTTGATAATTTTAAATCTAATGCAAGTATTTACTTATATTAATATTTATGTTAAGATATAATCAATTACAATATATCTTAGTTCTATAAATTTATTAGACAATAAATATCACTATAAAAAGTCAATGAAACTACCAACCAAAGTTTATTTTTATCAGATGCATTATAAATATTCATATTAATAGGGTTTTTTTTTGTAAATTATTTAAATTTTATAAGTTTCCATATTCACTTATAATTAAATATGAAACTTACTATTTAGGAAAAATATTTTTAAGTATGAAATATTAAAAACAAAAAAAAAAAATGCATAATAATCTTAATAATATATATTTTCTAGTATCATTGTCTATAATAATGCTTGAGTTATTGAACAAGATGTTTTAAGAAAAAGAAAAAAAAGATTTTTATTATTGACTGATTTCTATATTAATTGTTAATAAATTATAAGTATATGTTATAAAAAACTGGTATATTAATTTTTCCATTCACCAAAATATAAATAAAATTATTTTATGTTGATAGGTTAAAATAGAATTTGATAGATTTTTTGAGATGTTTTTTACTGAAAAAAACTAGGTTTCATTTTATTATCAATGTGAAATTCTTCTCAGTAACTTGTGACTTTAAAAAAGTACCTAATCTATCTACTTGTATATTTCTTGATAAATTTCAGGATTTTAGAATATTTTAACTTTTGCCTTGTGAATGAATGTTTTGTGTTGGCTTGGAAGTTATAATTTGATTAATTTGTGTGTTATATATTAGTTTTAATATATATATTTTTTTTTACAGGTAATATTCAATGAGTTTGATCCATTGAAAACTGCAGCAGTTCACTATGATAGATCTGGTAGATCTTTGGGAATAACTGATGTTGTATTTGACAGTAAAAATGCCGCATTAAAAGTAGTATGTCAATATAACAATGTACCGCTTGATGGTATGTATTTCAAATATTTTGTAATTCTATAATTTTATTGTTAATTCATTTTATTGATTATTTAAGGTCGCCCTATGAAAATTGAACTTGTAACTGATTTTTCAACTGTTGCCAACCTTGCTACTCGTCTCAGTAGACCAGCACCATTGCCTGAACGAAGTATTCGTGGTGGTATGTTCCTATTTTGTACTATATTTATTTATATATTATAAATTAAATTATAATAGTTATAATTCAAATTTTTCTCTTTATAGGAGTAAGAAGTAACCGGGAAAACCTTAGAAATATCCGTGGTAACTCCAAAAGACGTGGCGGTAGAGGTGGCAGGAATAGCGAAAAGAAAATGCCAAACAAAGATGAATTAGATGCACAACTTGATAGATATATCAAATTTAACAAAAACAAGAATAATTGATTTCATGTTTATATTTTTGACTTTCTTCTAATATTTTTAGTAAACTATGTTTACTTAAAGTTCAAACAGTGTTACTGAGTTATTTGTCAAATGATTTAATAATTTCTTGATAGGTTGATAATAATTTTGACCTGTTGATCTCCATATTTGGTCTTTAAATGTATATTATGTGATTTTGTATTGAATTATGATTTTTATTATATTTTTATATTCAGTCCCAGACATTTTTGTTTATTTTTGAAACTTAAATTATACACTATAATAACGATTTAATGTGTTAATGAAATTAAGAAGTAATATGCTTCAAAAGAGATTAAATAGCTTTCAACTATAGAGCAATAAATGGCAATAAATTAAAATTCCAAAGATATTGGTGATATTAAAAACTAGACTGAACGCATAATTGTTTTATAATCAATTATAATTATTTATCAAATTTATTTTGTTTATTCATCTAAGTATATACCTAATCATGTTTTTTATTATTTACCCTATTTAAATATATCACTCAATCCATTTCAAGTGTTATGTATTTATTTTTTTTTTCAAAATTTATTTTAAATTTTAATTATCAAGACTGTTATAACAATGAGGAAATGGCTATTCAGTCATTTTTTTAGGAAAAAAAAAAATTAAAATTTTAAATTAAACCGTTAGGTATTTGGATATTTATGTAAATATTTTTACCTGCATTTTGAACGCTTAAGTTAATTTTCAGTGGTGTTGGGGCTTGGCAGAAGCACCTTTTTGCATACTCTGCAAAAGAGGTCTGCGCACGCCTATGATACCTCTCATAATTTTACAAAATATAATACATTTTATAACCGAAAAAAGTCAAACCATTGGATTTTTCAAATCAACATTTGGCCGGGTTATTAATATTTCATGCATCTATAACTTCCAAATATATACGTAAAAATATTACACGGTCATATCCCTATAATTTAATATATTTTGCGTATATAATGCATACAATATGTAGATAATACGCTTAAGGCCGGTAAAGATAATCTGATCATTAAAACACTATTGGTGTTCGTAAATAACGGCAAGTGGTGTTTTTGACGTTGATGATACTTTACAATATAAACAGAAACGGTGAGGAATTCATATTATGTATACCTATATAGGAACGACGAAATGATAAACCGAAATATCGTTACGTGATACTACAGGTCCCCTCAAAGTTTCTATTCGTGCGCCTATATAATATTGTATGTATACGAACAATGTCACTTGCCAAGCAACTAAAAGCCTTTTAAAGGTTTTAACGGTCACAACAAAAAAAAATTTCATTATGCTGATGTTTATTAATTCATTTATTGATAATTAAATAAGGATCGAAAAAAATCAAATATAGTCTGCGTTTTTAAATGATTCCATATAAATATATTTTTAATCTGCTTGGCCTCCACATACATAGTAAACTATTCTTACTCGAACTTCTATTATTTGACAAATTGTTCTCTAACGATTTCCCAAAAATTTAACATTCATTTTATTCGCTTCAACTTGGCCCTTAAAAATAGGTTAACAATTATACGACAAAAATTTTCAATTATTTTTTTTTTTTTTCATAATCACATAAATAACAGCATTTTTTAAATATTGAATTAGAAGAATATTATTATTCATTATATTAATATCTATTATTATTTCTAAAAATACTCATCATTTTTTTTTTTTTGTTCTATTCTAAGCTTTATTGACTTGATACTTCTACACATCGAATACTGTTTTTTGTTCCTTATAGTTTTAGGAGGTATACTATTTCTAGAAGGGTGTACGTTCTAATAACGTTATTTAGTTTCTGTAAACAATACGTAGTTCACCTATACTGTTGTTAAACATTATCGATAATAAGGTTAGACTTAGAAGACTACCTCCTACTCAACAATAATTGTTGGTTAATTAATTATGCTTATCAATATTCGATTCAATAAATCTTTCATCCTTTTCATCCAAAATAGTTCCATAAAAATAATTTATAAATCAAGATTTATAGCTATAAATCAGTTTAAAAATCTTCTAAAAGGTTTTTTTGATGAAAGATTTATTTTATGGTATTATTTAGTAAAGAACTCTAATCACGCTAAAATGTTATGTTTTATCTTACTTTAATTTGTACATGCAAAAACCATTTTATTTATACTGAATGGAAATACTAACATCTTCTTCTCTAGAACCCAACTTTTGCTAATCTTAATCTAAGTGTATGACATCTTGCTCTGACAGTGCAAATACTAAAATTTGAACGATACAAAGAGATTATCTTGCCCATTTTCACTATACATTTCGTATGTTTATTTGTATTGAAACGATCCGATGTACGTACTTATTGATAAGTAGAGAACGGATTTATATGTAAATGCATATTTTTATTAAAACGAGATATTTAAGATTCGATAAGAAATGTTCATGATTTAAATCATTCCTATTAATATGATATTACTTTTATTTTACATATTTTTACATATTTCACTAATTTGTAAATATTTTTAAACATATTTTATCATTTCACGTCTTCTTCGTATGAAAATACAAGAAATTATTTCTAATTTAGATCTAGTAACTTCTATCGCTATAAGAAAAGCTTAAAATATTATGCAAAATGAAACATTGAAAACTAATTTAATATTCATTTCAGTGAATTTTAGTTTTATTGTACATACATTTACAAAATTAGAAAAAAAATATGTCCTTAAATGATAGTATGCAAATTGTCGAATCAACGATTGAAAAATGAAAACTCTTAAACGGACCAACAGGAGATTTTGTAAAAAAGAAAATTTATGCTGTTACAAAAAAAAATTCCAGGCGATATTGATTTTAAATTAATCAGTGACATAATCAGTGGTAGACACCATTCTAAAAATTTAGAATTATCGCCTTCTGATATTATGCGCTTCAAATATGCTTCAATCAACCGATGTAGGTTGATGTAGAACGATCATTTAGCCGTTTTAAAAATATATTCAGATCTAATAGGCGACATATAATATTTAATAATTTAAAAGATATTGTAATAATTCAATGCAACAAATCATTTTGATAGTTTAATAATTTTAATTTTTTTTTTTCAATTCAATTTTTTTCTTACATATTTGGATGTTTTTAGCACATATTTTATAAATTATACTTTCATACATATGTACATATTTCTGTATTTTTATTACATATAAATCCGTTCCCTATTGATAAGTATAGTGTGTCTTGACCAGTGTTGGGAATAGATAACGCAAAATTTATCTAGATAAAGATGAAAGATAATATGTCCAAATTCATCTGGATAAAGATAATAGATGAAAAAAATTAAAATATCTAGATAAAGATAAAAAATAATTTCATTTTTATCTAGATAAAAAAAAAAGATATTTTCAAAAAATGTTATTTTTTGGTCAATATTTCAAATTCTACTAATATCTATGAAAACTCAATTATAATCATTTTTATCAATAGGTACCTAGGTGTTTAATGTTTATTGTAGTAATGTAGGTAGTGTACCATTAAGCAGTATTAATATATAATGTACAGTATTTAATGATAGTCACTAAAATGTTACACAAAAAAAAAAAAAATGAAATTTGCTCTGTACATATCAAGATGAATACAGAATACATAAAAAAATATTTTAAGTTAATAATATTGTTTTCCATATAATATTAATTTGATGATTTTCATCATTCTATAAGTAGTTACGACTTTACGGGTTCCAAGAAGGAAGTAATGACTATTCAGCGTATAAGTGACATGTTTATATTAAAATCAAATACCTATTATATTTGGAACTTCCGTGGAAAAATAAGAAATTAAGTTTAAAAATACCAAAAATATTTACCCGACATGAAAATTCAAACAGAATGTTATACCAAGAAATAATAATTACTTATTAATAATACACGAATTATGATTATGAATACAAAATCTATATGTATAAAAGAAAGTCAGGTTGTTTACAGAAATTATAATTCAAGAACGGTTGGACCGATTTTGATGATCTCTGATTTGTTGAATTCGTCTCCGTACAAGAATAAAAATTACTTTAATCTTGGCAAGAATACAGACAACTATCAAGATAAAATTATCTAGATAAGTAAAAATTTTATCTTAGATAAGTAATTAGATAACTTAGCGTTATTTATATAGATAAGATAAAATATGACAAAAAATCTATCTAGATAACTTATCTAGATAAGTCCCAACACAGGTCTTGACACGTTGGGCAACTCACTATTAAATAAAAGTTATTTCTCTCTCTCTCAGAGGAAAAAATGTAATAAAATGTAGAAGCCTGTCATTTCGAATTTTTTTCTTGTTACCAATTAATGTTTAGCGCTGTCTATGCATTATTTATAAATACATAATAATTAATATATGGTATCCACTGTGATTGTCTACTCTAAGATTTTAATTTATATTTTATATTTTTTATATATTATCCTATTTTCTCTTTTCTGATCATTTCCCCTGTGATACATTTACGTCTTTAAGGCTCCTGAAAATAGGTTATACCCACAGTGTCACACCAACATATTCGTATGGAGTAGGTATACTATCGTCCTACGTATCCATCTAAACCAAAATTATTTATCATAATATCAATCGCCTGCAGAGGCATAAGTATAACTACAAGGCTGAATAAAATATGAATTGAGGTGAGGTCAATATGAAGTGGGTACGTTTACTGGTCGACCAGACTTAACTTTGAAAAATTCATCGAAACGTTTTGTAACGCAAAAATCATTTTTCAATTTTTTTATTTTCTTCCATTCACCGCGTCTAAATTTCAGTACTGACAGCATTTTATTCCAATTTAATATATATAATATATAATGTATGACAATATAATAATAGTTCACAATGCCAATCCCAAACGAATTATTATTATATGGGTCTTGATTTTTTTTTCCGATCATTCATCATTGTTACTTAGAGATTACAGACAATATCACAAGTTGATTACGCTGCAAATATCGCTTCAAATATAATCGTTCACAAAC